GTAATGAACATTTTGTCTCTCATCCTTTGAACCATTGTTCAGATTTAAAATGCTACCCAGTGGAAAGCCTTGGGAGGAAAAGTGTAGCAGAAGCAGAGTTGATGTTCGGAGTCATTGTGATCTTAACTCATGCCCTAGGAGTTTTTCAGACAGTTCTTGAGGGTACAATAGAGAGGGAATACGTGAGAGCAGAAAGTGTAAAAAGATAACACATCTAATAGAATGCTTACTTCTCGATCCAAACACAGTTTTTCCCCAATGCCTGCCACCATCCCCCTCCCCTGATGGGAATGAGGGTTTTAAAAATAAAATCCTCTCAAGCAATTGCTCTCTCCCAGAGGATGTTTGCTGGACTATATTCTCGAGTTTATCTCAGACCTTTGGAATCCTACAAGCAGGGCGGGAGAAGCCTCCAGGGACTACATTCCTGAAAGGGCCTCTCTCTCTCCCCTGCTCTCCTGAGCTGCTTCAGCTTCCGCCATTGGATGCTGCCCACTTATGGGCAGTTGAGAAAGAGTATCGGCCATCAGCTTTTAAAAGCTGCCAGAAGAGCTGGTCGCTACCTACCACTGCCACTGAGCATCTCTAGCCATGGTTCTCTTAGGAGGCTGACATAGAGTAGTCCTGTGATATTTGTTGGTAAATCTATTTACTTTAAACAAAGTTTTCTGGGACCTGGTCACAAGAAGCCCCCATGTCTGTGTGATAAACTCCATCCCTAACTTTATAGGATGAAGGCAAGACTCAAGTTCCCCTTTTCTACTCATTTAGCACCAAGTCAGCCCTGGTCCCAGCCCTCTGATTTTCCCTATGAACTAACTAGGTCTCTGTCAGGCTGCCCCCACCCAATCATCCCACTAGATGCCAAAACAAGGCTCCTTTCAGTTCGTCTAGAACGCAGGGATGCGCCAAGAGCCATGTGTCCCCACCCGTTTTTTCTTCCACCTCTCAAGTCTTAGAGTAGGGAAGCTGCTGGAAACTCGCTTTCTGTGTGGTAAAAGAAAAGCGTTCTGTGCCCTCTGCTCAAAGCACAGAAGTTGTCTTTAAAAATGAAATCTCCCT